AATCCTCGAACCAGTAAGTACAGTATGCCATCTGCAAAGCAACAGCTCTCAAATATAAAACACGGCGGAGCTATTAAAGCCAACGTATGGGTACTGACTTTTGGCCCACCCTGTATATTGTATTTTGTATTTATGTATTTTAGTAAATGGTCATTAGAACCACCGGCACCGTCCGGGCCCTAACAAACATTCACTTTATATCTCCAATATTATTGGAAAATACAGTACACTTATCTCTAGTATTATTGGAAAATACAGTACACTTATCTCCAGTATTATTGGGAAATACAGTACACTTATCTCCAGTATTATTGGAAATACAGTACACTTATCTCCAGTATTATTGGGAAATACAGTACACTTATCTCCAGTATTATTGGAAATACAGTACACTTATCTCCAGTATTATTTGAAAATACAGTACACTAACCTACAATATAATTAATGGAAAATACAGTACAGTTATCTCCAGTATTATTTGAAAATACAGTACACTTATCTCCAGTATTAATGGAAAAAACAGTACACTTATCTCCAGTATTATTGGAAAATACAGTACACCTATCTCTAGTATTATTGGAAAATACAGTAGGTACACTTATCTCTAGTATTATTGGAAAATACAGTACACTTATCTCTAGTATTATTGGAAAATACAGTACACTTATCTCCAGTATTAATGGAAAATACAGTACACTTATGAAATGAAATGAAATGAAATGAAATAGAGTATTTATATCCCGCTTATATCAACAACCAATATTATTAAAAATAAAAATTGCCGACTTCAAAGCGGCTGGCGTGGTGACAAAAGTGATAATTTAAAACTCCAGAATGCATGTATATTCCCAGTAGTGTAAGAGTTCATGTAAAAATGGCCAAAAAATATGTAAAAACTATTTTATTAGATAAGAAATAAACTATTATATCTCACTCATCTTTCTCACAAATTTTACCAGTCCTGATAAAATAACGTTTATTAGGATTTTCCGTGACCTTCCTCTTCAAATCTAGAACCAACTGTCTATGTACTTCACGCTCCTCCGGCGACCGATCCGGTGAAATAAAGACAGTTTTGAAACACTGAGACAGTCTGAGTTCTTTAGCTTTAATCAGTATCTGATGAACGGTGCTAGAGCTTCCAAATGATACTTTGACAGCTCTATGTTTTTCAGCAGCTTTATTCCCAACTCGAGCAGCTTCAAAGCGTGGCTTCTCTGCCATTTGTTCAAACACATCGCAAATTTTATCCCCAAGTTTCTCTCCTGCTTCCTCCTTTAGACCAAAAATCAACACATTTCTGCTGCGATCCTCTTCAGCTACCACATTCTGAACTACTTTCTTCAAGTTCTCTGCTGTGAAAGTGGATGCAGAGCTGGGGGAGTGTTTTGACACAGCAGCACTGTAAGACTTAATCTCAGCTTGAACAGTATTTTCTACAGCGGTTTGAACAGTTCTCTGGACTGATTCTAGATCCTTAGTCTTAATGTCCAAGAGTTCCCCTTGCAACTGAATAACTGATTTCTGAGCATTAATCATGTCACTTTTCATTTCCTCTAGTTTTGTTGTCGCTGTTAGAAAAGCTTCCTTATATGCAATAATACCCTGAAATGCATCAAAAAGGTGCTTTACTAAAACGTCCTTGTTTGGTTTCTTGAACTTGTCTAATGTAAAATGACTATCTTCATCACAGTTTAATGTCTTCATCACTTCCTCAGCCCAAATACCAAGATCATTAGCAGCTTCACCAAACATGGTCAAATATTTACATGACCACATTGTAGAGTCAAAGTCCACATTTCCCATAATGTATTCAGAATTGTACAGCACCAGACACAAACTAGCAGCTGAGTCGTCGTTAAATTGTAGCGATAAGAGATGAGATAAGAGAGCTCAATAATCAACGCGTAACAAAACTACACACAAAACGCACGTATTAATGGAAAATACAGTACACTTATCTCCAGTATTATTGGGAAATACAGTACACTTATCTCCAGTATTATTGGAAAATACAGTACACTTATCTCCAGTATTATTGGAAATACAGTACACTTATCTCCAGTATTATTGGAAAATACAGTACACTTATCTCCAGTATTATTGGGAAATACAGTACATTTATCTCCAGTATTATTGGAAAATACAGTACACTTATCCCCAGTATTATTGGAAAATACAGTACACTTATCTCTAGTATTATTGGAAAATACAGTTTACTTATCTCCAGTATTATTGGAAAATACAGTACACTTATCTCCAGTATTAATGGAAAATACAGTACACTTATCCCCAGTATTAATGAAAAATACAGTACACTTATCTCCAGTATTATTTGAAAATACAGTACATTTATCTCCAGTATTATTGGGAAATACAGTTCACTATATCCAGTATTATTTGAAATTATAGCATACTATCAGCGTGGTTCGCTGTAAGTGTACTCTCAATAGCATACAGCATTTGTGTATTAATAATCTATCAATTTGTTTGAGGTTGCTTTAACAACAATTCCAATAATGCTCGCTTGCTGTTTTTCTGAATATAATATTTGGGTAAGCAACTAATCCATTTTAATGACCTACTTGAACAATGAACAGATACATTTTTCCTCTTTTAAGCGATCGGAGACTCATAATAAGTGTTACGTAGAACAGGGAATCAAGAGGAGATGGTTTCATTCATTATATATGTATTAAAATGAAAACAACTTGTTTTGTAAAAAAGAAAAAATTAATAAAGCAATAAATGATGCAATAAAATAAAACAAAAATCAGATTTAAATTCATAAAATTCGACCAAATCATACATCATTCTCGAAATCAGAGTCTGATCCGAAACCACAATTTAGTTTCCTTTCGGGAAACTTCTTTCGCTTTTTTTTGCTCGCTTTGGGAGCGAATCTGCGAAGTCCGTCCGCTTTTCTGCCCGAGAAGTCGTTGACAACAGTGACAAATCGTCCCGAGTTGCTGTTACCGTCATGTCAATCTTTGTCATCTCCAAAAGCCTGAATGTTAAATGTTTTGATACATCGTCGAAAAAATATATGTTCATTGCAATACACATATTTGAACAGCAAGATAGTAACATATACATATATAATAACATTAGCAGCGGTCATTAGCAACGGTCATTTAGGGCCTGTCGTGATATCATGGATCGCTTAGGTTCCACCAGGATCTGGTAGTCCTCATAATTCTGACCGTCGGTCATTGTCCAGCTATAAAATACAAATAATATTTTTCAGCTTCACATAACAGTTGACACGTAAAGAACTGATTTTCACAATTTCACCTTTTCACAAATTCATAAATTGTTCGTTTACATGTTTACATATATAATAACATCTATAAACAAAAGAGCACCTAAAGAGGCTCAGCAAAGTGCTGGCCTATTTACGCTAACGAAGACTCATTCGTTCAATATGTCTCAAAGTAAATAAACTCCTCCATCCTACTCTTGCTAAGTTCACTAAGTTGGTAAAATCATCTTCGTTTTTCAAATAAATGTGTCTCTTAAATAGGTCCTTTTTCACAATAATATCATACAAATTAGTCCTATGTCTACCCACTCGTCCCTTTAGCGTTTGACATCCTAGTGTAGCAAATAACAGAGACTGGTAGGCAGGCGTGTCGTTGTCACTGCGTAGAACATGACCTAGCATTGTCCACCGTGCCTTTTCCACTCTCTCGGAAAGGGGCCTGGTCTGGGTACGAGCGTAGAGGGCCTTGTTAGATATTGAGCTAGACCAATAGATGTGTAGGATGCGCTTGAGGTGCTTCCTCTGAAAAACATCTACAGACTCTAGAACATGCTGAAGTACGGCCCAGCAGCAGCAGTTGTACAGGAGCACTGATACTACTAGTGAGTCGTAGAGTTTGATCTTTCTCTTTTCAGTTATCTGACTCCTCTCTGATCCCTGGCACCACAGCTTGTCAAATGACAAGAAGGCGGTGTTAGCTTTATTTATTCTATTAGTAACATCCTGCTCTGATCCAAGCTTAGTACCAAGAAGCGTCTCGTTTCTCCACTCCTCTTTTCCTCTTAGCTCATTATCCCACTCGTCGCAGGCACCAACTTCTTCTAAATACACTCTGGTAAACTTTGTCTTTGTGTCATTGACAAAGAGACTCCATTCACTGAGAATATTCTTGGAGATCTGAAAGATATCCTGTAACTCCTCCATATCTTCACCAATCTTCTTTACATCGTCTGAATAGCCGGACTCAAGAGGCATGTGGTTATCGGCTATCGGAGGGTTGGGTCTTGAGGGGAGGACTGCTCTTATGTGCACTACAGCTCCAGCTAGATTGAGGGTATACAATTTACCAGCTGTGCTGTCTCCTTGGGAGGCTCCTATGTTGAAAGAGAACATCTCTGAGTCAGTAGAACACACTCTGACTACTAGAGTGGTGTTAGCCATGAGGTATTGTACAAGCCTCAGGTCGTCTCTGGAGCATCCTGCAGCTTCTAGTAGTCTGATTGTTGTACCTCTGCGGATGGTATTGAAGGCAGCTGACATGTCAATACTCACTTTGTTCCATTCAAACTCCTTCTTCTTTACTACAGATATGAGCATGCTCTGTGCCCAAACTAGGTCGGCACAGCTCTTGCCAGCTTTGTCGGCAGCTTGGAACGGTCCGGTGAAGTTGTCCACAGCTCTCTCTATTCTGTTTAGCACTATCAGTGACAGGATCTTTCTAGAAACATTCAGCAGGGTCAATGGTCATATCGACTTAACTGGGCCGCGAGTTTTACCAGGCTTAGCCAGTGGTGTAAGGATGCCTGCTCCTATTGCTTCAATGTGAATGTTTTTCTCGAAAGACTCGTTGAACACTTTAGCTAGCTCTTCATGAAGGAGGGGGTTGTTCAGGGCTTTCATGACCTCGCATGTTTACATGGTGATTGTTAATTTTATCAATTAACCTTTGTGTTAAAGTGTTAACTTGTTAAATATTCACTTTATCTATCTACTTTTGTTATTTAATTTATTTTACTTACCGTGGAAGAAGCATCCCATCAATAACACTTGTGACAAGGTCTCTCATCTCACGTCTATTTTCAGGAGCAACACTGAAAAAATTATGAGTAAATATACAGATAGTCGCAAATTTTGTTGTGTCACGGTATTGTTCATCAGGTTTGTGATTCGCACACTAGTAATGATTTGCAAGCCGCTTTGAACAATATTATTTTAAGGTTTCTTGAAAGTTTGGATTTCCAGATGTTATTCTAGGTCACCTAATACTTCTACCTTTTACCCTATCTACCTATCTGTCCTTTCAATTTAGGAGCCTAACCATCGACATTTTTTATAACACTCGAATAACACCTTTTCAACTTAATACAAGATATCTAAACTATAGCGTAATAAAAACGAACTTATAGATCATGCTCCTAAGATCTGCAAGCTTTCCGAATGTTGCATTTAGGTCTCCCTCAGTGTTTTTATCTGTTTTCTTCGGGCTCTGGTCTTGTGGAAGACTATCGTGTACTGTTAGTGGAAGACTAACTTCTTGAGTCGAACAGCTAGCACCAGGATCCGTGCATAGGTGAGGATTGTGCCTGCGATACAGTGTCAATGAAATTAATTGTTATAGAATCCGTATCAAAATAGGCATAGCGTTCTTATCAGATACATCATACAAGAGGATGCAATGATCAAACAACTAGTTTTACGCTGTTCAAAATAGGTTATTCATAATTACTTAAATGATCCGTTTCTTACCTGAATGAAAGCGGAAGATCGGTCCATTCAACGTTCGACTCACGAATAACCGCCAATAAATGTTTGCACGGTAATTCTGGGTAAGACCTGAAGTTCAGGCAATCACAATGGACACTCGGACTGACGGTGACCTGGAAATGTGGGTAATTAGTTATTGATTAATCTGATTGTTATTTAATACTCAATTAATTGATAGTAAAGTAAATGTCCAAAATACAAGTACAGGGAGCGTCGACGAGTGTTGTTAAGTAGGGGCGATTGTGCTCGTTATGGGACTACCAGTTATGTGCTAGTACTGAGCGTAAGGAACGCTGGTATGGCTAGGACCCTGGTACGGCTAGAACAGAGAAGGTACTTAGACTGGGTGGTGTAGCCGGTGACTGAAACGGTTTAAGAAAACATGTGAAGAATGTTTAGGGCACCCTGGCCCTGATAAGCAATGCTGAGTAGTGTAGGTTTATTTGATGGCCTGGAAGTGCTAGGAATTGTTATTATATTATAATAGTCGTAAGGAATTAAAACACAGAAGGCACAAACAAGTTTACTTTGTCGCATAATCTTGATGATATCTGAACATGTGTGAAATTGAACAAATAATGATATACCAGCTTAAACCCCTTATATTATGTACTATTAGAAAACCCGTGGTCACAGTGAGCAAGCTAATATTGATAGATGGATCAAACAACACTGCTAGTACCACGCACCAGTCACATAAATCATTATCGGGTGGTAATATGTTAACAGTGTCACAATTAAACTACCGCAACATGGTCAAAAATAGGGTTATTTCGTCACAAAAAATTATTATAACTCTGTTAGCTCCTTGCTGGCAAAATAACTAGTTCATTGATGATAAAGTTACATAGTATTCTAATAGAGTTATAGATCTTCAAAATAGAGGCAAGACATGTTTACTTTGCCACATCAGTTATTATAAGAGTTAGGTAATCGTCATCAGATTAACAGATCTTTTTTTTTGTAGTTTGGATCGATTAATATAGGCAATTAAGCATCATATGTCAATTTTAACACACTATCTTGATATTGTTGGGGCAGGAAAAGTTAATTTTGTCACATTTTTAGTGACTTTGACAAATTTAACCTAAAATTGTTAAACTTGAGCTCTGATGTTCTAGACAATATTCTACCAATCGTTTCTGAAAGAATGCTGAATTCTAATAGAGTTATAGATCTTCAAAATAGGGCAAAACATGTTTACTTTGTCACATCAGTTATTATTAGACTTAGGTAATCGTCATCAGATTAACAGATCTTGTTCGTAGTTTGTATCGATTAATATAGGCAATAAAGCATCATATGTCAATTTTTACACACTATCTTGATATTGTTGGGGCAGGAAAAGTTAATTTTGTCACATTTTTAGTGACTTTGACAAATTTAACCTAAAATTGTTAAACTTGAGCTCTGATGTTCTAGACAATATTCTACCAATCGTTTCTGGAAGAATGTTGAATTCTAATAGAGTCATAGAATATATAGATCTTCAAAATAGGGGCAAGACATGTTTACTTTGTCACATCGCATCAGTTATTATAAGAGTTATTATAAGAGACTATTTCATTCTATATAAATCATTGTTTTTAACCTATTTACGATTTTGTATCATTTTTTGTGACAATGTAAACATCGATTGATCTTAACTTGCATCAACTACATTGATAAAGTTTTCCCGCCTTTCAAACCAAAATCAGATATAAATAATTCGCCCAAAATTTAAAATTCCATATATTGTGACAGAATTAACCTCATTTCCCAATAACCAAGTGCCTGAATTAGGTAACTATTCGAAACAAAATATTTTAGGGCTATGATTGGTAGATCAACCATCAAATAATGAGTTAAAAGGTCTTTGAGGACACCTCACAGTAGAATAGAGGTATGGTATTCTGAGTGTGACAAAGTTACCCAAATATTGCCTTGTAACCGTTCGATGTAAATGAGCTTTTGTCATCATTAAAGTCTTATATGAGAGCGAATAAGTTACATATAAACATGTACAAGTGCTGCTACATACACTTCAAACCCACCATGGCAGGTTCTAAGTTAGAGACTTTATCACACCCTGAAGTTGTATTAACTATAGACAACTTTCCTTGATCAAAAAGGTTTCATCCGCAAAATTTCTGGGTGTTATAATTGACGAGAACCTATCATGGGAAGATCACATTAAAGCTCTTAAGCGAACTCTAAATCATTCCACATCCACTTTATGTAGACTTCGCTGCTCCCTTCCAGAATTTCTAAACCATGAACAATTATATTATACCCTGTTCGAATCACATCTTTCCTACTGTATATCTGTATGGGGTGGGGCAGCGAAACAACGTATAAGCTCATTATTTACTGCTCAGAAGTACTGTCTCAGAGTACTATTTGGTGACAGGCTGGCATACCTTGATAAGTTTAAGACTTGTGCACGCCTATAGGACACCAGAAACTTGACCAAAAAGTTTTCATAAAAGAGCACACCAAACCGATATTTAAGCATAATAATATTCTAGCTATACAAAATCTCTATACATACCACAGTTACCTCGAGCTCTACAAGATAATGAAATTCCGTGCTCCAATATCCTTACATGAGGGTTACACATGTTCCTCGAGGAAACCCTGCCTTCTAATCTGTCAGGCAGACCCACCTGACAATCACAACACTAGATCAACCAAAATTTTTAACATTTAACCCCAAAATTCAGAATGACTGACTTTACTACTAATGTAATGTGCTTGCGAGGTAAGCTAAAACGTGCGCTATTAACGAATCAACATAATCACGCCCTGCTTGATTGGACTGTCAAAGATTTTGACTGCGCAAATCTTATTTCCCAAACATTATAACTGGCTGGTCACACACATCTCAATTAAAATTACCCTAGGCTACTGTTTTCCAAGTCTTGTCCTGTGAGTAAAGTATGTGTGAGGTGTGAGAAAGTTTTAATAAAATTATTGTATATTTACTTTTGAATTTTTAAAATCTAATTTGAGAATGAAGTTTAAAGAAATCTTAATTAGCACTGTATAGTTTAAGATATTTATAGCTTATTATAACCATTGATACAAAGGCCATAATCTTTCGCCAGCTCTCCAATATCCACCTTGAAAGCTTGAAGCTGCATTTTATATCCTTGAACTACACAATATAAACTAAAGAATGTTTTAGTGTAGACTTTTTGTCACAACAAGACTGTAACCTATAATAACAACTATAAACAGAACCCCTAATGTCTGCTTACAATTTTTCTTCTAGTCCTAATCTTAGCCTTGTCTCTATAAACTTAACTGAACTAGCGTTTCGGTGTGTGCAAAAGCTTCCAGGCACGCGCATTCCTTGCCCCGTTAGTTACCTGTCCTTCCAAAACCAAACTTGCAGTCAAGGACAAAAAGTCATACACCAAAATATGGGCATTATATTTTATGTTTTACATCTTTTTATTCTGTAAAAATGTGCTAAAATTAAATTTCTTGTTTCATTGAATTTCTTGTTTCATTGATCCGTGCCCTTTAACCAATGTTGTATCATAATTGTTAGATTGACCTAATCTACTATATTTCAGACCAAGGAATGATAGTTAGACAACTGCAGTTAACTAAGTCACACAAAATGTGACATTTGAACCATTATAGTGCCTAACAACAAAAGATTTTCTATCTGAGCAGTGCATATGGGAGTATGGGTTACGTGGCTATAATGTTCAGAACTTCTGAACGTGCTAGGTTAATATATGTCAAAATTAAGCCACTATCGTCGAAAACGCTATCATTTTTGTTTACCAATATCCTCAAACTCAAATGAACGTGTCCATATACATTGTTTGTAGTATATTATTTGTAATTGTAGCGAGTTATCGGATGTTTTATCTTTGAGCGAGGCTATCTTTATAGGAGTAGTCAAGAAGCTTGAGTTTTGGCGCTATGACGTGCTCCAGATTTTAGAAGATCTAAATATAAAATCTTTTAATATAATGGGAATTGAGCAGTGAGATTGGTTTCCTTTCTACATGATAACTCATATTGCTGGTGCAGTGATGTTAGGCGTCTGAGTTTGGGTATTTTAAGGAGCACTCTCTTTGGGAGACCACTGTCCAATTATGATTTCAAATGATATTATGTTAAAACAAGCTGCGGGGAAGGTTTTGATAGTCAGCTTAAATAAATTGCGACTACATAAAATCACTGAGACAAGAACAACCATAAATAAGGAATGACAACAAATAATTTGAGTGTTCACTAACATTTACATTATTTACATTGCTGTCAATCGATATTATTACGTAAGCCACCTAATTTTACATACCAGCAAATTCATGGAAAAAACGACACTTCAAACCTTAAAAATATGATTAACAATCGAAACCAGAAACAGCTGCTTATAATGAAGTTGCACTGCTGAAAGATGTATGAAACAGTGATAGTGAAAAATCGTGATTGATAGAAGCTGGAGTAGAGTTGAATGGTGAAGGTGTTCTAAGTGTACGTATATGTACCTTGTTTTTGATGAAGCTTTAGTGGGACACGAATGGATGGAGACATCCTGATCCGGTAGATTTCCACAAAACTCGGCAGTAAACCTGAAATTGTTAACGAAAGCACAAATTGACCATTGGCGATGAACTTTAAGTTTTAATCACTCGAAATTAACATGCTATACCTTTGATCATGAATCACAGACTTTTAATCGAGTAAATAGTGTAGTCAAATATGAAGTATAGAATAACTGAATAAGGTGTTATTAAGGCTAGACGTTAACTGAGCTTGAAGCAAACTACTGAGGATATAGAACCAGCGCAGCACTCCTGACAGCAAAACCAATTTTGCAATTTATCCAATGCGAAAATACGCATTAATAGTTAAATGAAAAAAGTTTGGGCGAGCGATTTAGTGAGCGCGGTTTAATTATGGTAAGGGCACAGCCTGTCAAAAACCCTTTTCGGATGATCCGTCGACACCGCCTGAAGGTGACTGCATAATAACGGATCATCGTGGAATCAAACGTTAATAAGCTTGCAGCTTCCGATGTCAATGTATTCATCCTGGTGTCGCAATGTCGCATGCTTGAACTGGTTTTGGACCTCTTCATGCTTTTAATTTATTTATTA